CTAAGATGGGAGTGGGCGTGGCCAGCGCATGACGCAGTTGGCCCATAGGCCGCGAGTTTGACATCCCTGGCCTAGAGTCTATCCTTGTCCTGGTAATAAATAGTAAGTCTTGTGGTTTATAGTCGATTGATTGCTGGGCTTACACACTGTTCCAGTCACAATATTTTTATTTACTTTTTATTTATTTGGTTTGTCAGTTGCTTACAAGATAATAGGTATAAGTAAAAACATAGTTATGAATACATGGATACATATAAGAAAAATAAAAATAAAATAAAAGATACAATAGGACAGGGATGGTAGGCACATTGGTGCGCTTATGCACGCCCCCTAGAGACCTCTTAGGAAAGGGGGGAGGTCAATAGTAGACAGTCTAAGGTTAAAGTTTTTGGGGTTTGGGGAAGAAACCACAGAGTCAGGTAGAGTATTCCAGACATTGACCACTCTGTTGCTGAAGTCGTATTTCCTGGGTACATTCTTTGACTACAATAGAGTTTGGATTGAACTGCTAAGCTGGGTGGACCATTTGAAGGTTAAAGATAGTTCAAAATATATTGAGGAAGCCCTTTGTCAATTCTGACCCAGAAGCAATATCACTAAATTGCCTCTGGAAATTTGAATATGCTATTTTCAATTTTTAAAAAGTGCTAACCCTGTCAGGATTTAAATGGCTGAAGTATAAAAGTAAACAGAATAAATTTTGGGATTTGTCAGGAGAACAATCTATAAAAACCATGATGGCTCATGAGGGTTATTGTGAAAATAGGATGAGGAAAGTGTTAGATATGTTAGCTATCTTGAGGTACTTTTAAAAATAATAAAGGTGGGATATAAAATAAAAAAATATTTTTTGCAATATTTTCTCATCCTTTGTGCTGCAATTATTGAGTGGTAGTATACAGTCAATTAGAGGGGGAGAATTACATTTTCAGAAAAATAAGTCAAGAAAACAGGGAGAAGTGACTCTTATAAAAAGAATATATGTATAGTAAATTAATGAAGTATAAACTTCATGATTCAAGAAACAATTTATAATTATATATTTTATTGTACTAGATAATTCTTTAAAATAGACTTACTGTCAAAGCAAGCATAAATATTACATATTAAAAATATAAATATTTTAGTGGATAATCTATTTAGACTGTAAGTCTACTTGAATACAGAGTTTAAAGTTGTATTTGATTTAGAGATGGTGAATTTGTCTTATAGCCCAAAAAAAGAAAAATATCAAACACAGGACCTCTACCAATTGTAACAAATGAAGACTTAGAACATATTGCATTTTCCCATAAAGGGAAGATTTACGATAGGATTTTGGTAAGTTGTTTTCTTTATAAATTTGCTTAGTTTGAATTGAATGCAATGTTTTATATCAAATCAGTTTTTTTATCCTCTTTAAGTACACAATGTTCTTGAGGTATCTTTACATTTATATAATGATCCAGCTGCCACAGTGTTATTTATATTGGTGAAATTACTTTCACTTCCCATGAACAGGATTAATTTTGCCTACTGTCATAGTGTACTGTGAAGTATTTAATATTTTAATTATAGTCTATAATTATACTGACAATTTCTAAAACACACACACAGTAAAATAACTACCAATAAATTATTTATCTTCTCAAGGTATTAGAAGTGCCTGCCTCAAAAAAAAAAAAAAAAAGTAAATACTTACCAGGAATTTAAGCAAAATTTTTTTTGGGGGGGAATTACTTATAATGCTAATGATAGCTAACCCTCCAGAATGAAATGAGCATCAGATTAAGTTTGGGCTGATTTTAGTGTTGCTAACTTGTAAAATCTGAAATATTGCTACAGCTTTGTAGAAACAACACAGTAGCAGGATTTTCAGATTCCATTTTATAAATTGGTTTTCCACTCCAGTTCAATTTATTGGCTAATTCATCTTGCCTTATTTGAAACATGCATTTGTATTGGAGTTGTGAAAAAAGCTTCTTAATATTCCAACAACAAACATGTATAATTATCTGTGTTTTTGGATAATAGTAATTCGTTAAATCAGAATAATAGGAATAGATTGATGAAAAGCACCATGTTTATCTTCATACTGTATGTATTGGGTGGCTTTCTAAAAATAATAACATTTGTCCACTATTAGGGAACCACATGCCATCAATGTCGCCAAAAGACAATTGATAAAAAAACAACCTGTCATAATAAAGACTGTGTCGGAGTGCGGGGACAGTTCTGTGGACCATGTCTCCGTAATCGCTATGGAGAAGATGTGAAAGTAGCACTTCTGAATCCAGTAAGTCTCTAGTTGTTTGAATTGTGGGGTAATGAAATGGAAGATACAGTGAAGTAATTGGTGATCTGATTGTTTTATTTTTATTATGTACATGACTTCAGAAACATGCAACATTGTGTCTTTATGCAGGACTAACTATATCACTAACTTTGTGATTTCCACGTTTAGGTGATAGCATATTACTTATAAGGTGAACTAATAGTCTTCTCCCACTTTTAAGAAATGGTTGTGCCCACCTTGCCGTGGAGTGTGTAATTGCAGCTACTGTCGCAAACGTGATGGTTACTGTGCCACAGGAACACTGATCCACCTGGCAAAGCTTTATGGTTATACCAATGTAAAGGAGTACCTTGAAAGGTAAACTTATGCCTAACCTTTTATAGGGTGGTTTGTACCAGAAGTATTTCAATATTGTCAGTTCTAAGAAATCACTGTATGTAACAGTCTAATTTGCTGTGTTTATTTTACTTTTATTTATTTAGATTTATATTCCATCCTTTCTTCAGGGTGGTATACCTACTGCTCCTCTCATTTCCCCCCATTGCAAACTATCTTTTGGGGTAGGTTGGACTCAGAGAGTGAGTTTGAGTTGATATAGATTTTTCATGAACTCTGCAGTCATGCAGTTCCGCAAGTAATAATTTTATCTATTTGATCTGATGATTACTTTATATGGTGGTTGGAATATTTATATTCCTTAGTCCATTCTGAGATGAGATTAAAAACAACAGCAACCCACCAGGCAGCCACATGAAATTAAGTTCTTTATCCAGGAGAAATGATAGCAAGCTGTTAGGTGAGTGGTGGCAAAGCCCAAGTTAATATATGTCACAGCTTCTCCTTTCCCATTCATCTAATTCCATCCTCGCATCATCCCCTAAATGAAATTTCTTTTCTTCCATGCCAGAGTATCTTACATTTTCTGAGAATACACTTGTCTAACAAGAATAATTTGCCTGGATAAGCTACTTTTAAAGCCCATGAACAGTGAAGAGTAAGAAGTTCAATAAATCTTAAGAAAGTGAGAGTCTTAATAAAATGTTCCTTCTAAATATTCTAATCCTGCCCAATATTTTGTAAAAATTAAAAGACTTTTAATTTTGAAAAATAATTTTGTGAATGCATGTAATGTTTTTGCTTTTTTCTTATAAAGGTACTGTTTACATTGGAAGCTGGAACAATGCTATTGGTAGGATAATAGAGCTTAGTTACATTCTCTTTCTTAAACTCTAAATGTTTTTTCTTCTTTATTGCAGTATGCCAATGTATCATGTTAATGGAAATGAGTGAAAATACCCAAGACACCTGTGTGAATTGTGGTTTTGATGATTTATATATATATATACTATATTTACTTAAAAATTTAAATCTTGAAATTTCATTGATAATCATTATGTTTAAAGAATTCAGAAATGTGGAATGGTAACCACTTTTGATTTATTAAATATTTCTAAGGAAAAACGCTGTTAATATTGGGAACAGCAATATTTTCCAACATATAATAAAATGATCTACTGTTTAAAAATATTTTTCTTTATAGACTTAGTTTAGAAATACAATTCTAAAATATTTAGAAATATTAATACAATATTTAGTAATAGTAATAAAAATTAAGAAATAGTAAATTGACCTTGTAATTTAAGTGAGACTTTAAACTTCTGAAGACAAGCAGCCCAAATCACTGTTTATTCTATTTTATATGCAGAAAAATGTTATAAAGGTCAAGATTGTTTAAAATTGGAAGGGCTTAATTCAGCCCAGTTTAATTTTTACCAACTGAAAACAAACTTTAGGCTCAGAAGTGGCCAGTATGGTCATAATATATATTTGTTGAAATTTATCATTCAATTCTGTCGGATTTAAAATTGAATGTATGGTGAAGACTTTCACAGGATAAATAGCAAGAAGAAAATTATATAGGTCTTTCCACATCAGGCCTGGTGTTGATTGTTTTCATATTCATTGTGCTCTCTTAGCAAATTAAGACAATAAGTGATTAATTTAGGCTAAAATTTAACTTGTTTATTTTCATTATTATTATTTTATTAATATTAAATGGAAGAAAACTGCACATTACTCAATAGTGTTATCTATTTTTTTAGGATAACCATAGGCTGCAAAAATACAGAAGGTCACTAGGTGGCAGCAGAGTTAAGAGTTCTGTGTGCTTTTCCTACAAAATTATAGTTTTCTCTATTTTTGCAATCCAGTAAAAGTAGTTTACCATAGTTAACATATTTTACTCTCTGGCTATAATTAAGATATTTTAAGTTTTGGCTTACAGATATATTATATACTTTATTTTTTGCTTTTGCTATGCAAAACAGAACATACAAGTGACCTTAAAATAACTTGCATTAGTCTTACAGCATACATACGAGTCCTGTCTGGCTTGGGGCCATATGTGCCATTTATGGAAACTTGAAATGTTATTCCCTCAGGTGAAAGGGAATAACATTTCAACAGTTTTATCTACATATTACATATGTAACATGTATGATTCAGTGACTTAATCCTTTGCATGATCACTTGTACATATGCACTGTTTCTATGTGCATTAATGTAAACATAGCTGTTGCATTAAACAAATATTCAATAAAAGCATTATCTTCAAGATTGTCTATGGTCATTTCAAATAGAAATATACATGATTTAATGTGTGAATACCTTGGTTGTAAGTAAGAAAAATGTGTGAAAGTATATTGCTAAAAATGAAAGTATATTGCTAAACTTCCAAGAGCAAGGCTACCCCTGCAAGCACCCACTTGGATGGCTTTTCTTTAGTTTTTAAGTTAAAAGTCCATGTGTATGTGGGCCCTCTAAGTTTAGTTTTATAAACCGGGCATTTGTAAATGTGCTTGGTTTCTTGCCTCTCTATTGGAATTGCTCTGGCAAAGATGACTGGTAGCATTGGAGTCAGGTCCTTCAAACGAGCTTCAGCTACAACTCCTGCTTGGATGTCCCACCTTGCTCCTGCAACCGAGAAATACACATTTTAACTTCTGCAGGGCAAAAGTGTGCAGTGAACTAGGTAGAATATTAATCGCAATTTGTGTGCTTCATTGTATGCCTGAAATCCTATTGATATTAATTCTGCATTCTTTTACAAATAATGGGGCTTGCTGTTTGAAAAGATACATTTCAAAATTTTAGCAGCAAGCACAGAATACTCTGCTGTGGTTCATTTCATAGTATTGTATAGTGAACATGTTTTTTAAAATGCAGGTAGTCTTTGACTAATGGCCATTTGTTTAACCATTCAAAATAAGGATGGGGCTGAAAAAAGTGACATTATGATCCTCACACTTACACCTTGCCTGCAAATCATATGATCAAAATTAAAGTGCTTGGCAAACTGACATGTAGTTACAGTTGTGGCCTTATCACGTTGTCATCTTTTATAACCTTCCTGGGGGACTTCCAACAAGCAAAGTTAATGGGGGAAGCCAGATTTGCTTAACAGCTATGTGATTCGCTTAATGATGAGTTGCTTAATATACAGCAAACAAGTTCATAAAGTATTGGGTTGGCTTAATTATTGCATCGCTTAAATTGGGAATTTCTCATAGCTATTGTGATCATAAGTCCAGGACTGCTCGTAATCAGAAACTTACACTTTTCACTGATTCAATAAAATATATTCCTTTTTGATATGTCTGATATTGACTATTTTTTACAGGTGGGTCCTCTAACTAGATCATAATACAGAATTTTAATAAACTTACCTTCCATGTAAAGTCCAAAAATATATGCACCTTCTCTTGGTGGATGACCATAATCTTCTCTACTCTTTTTGGTAACATCAGTAGTCAAACACATCTTATCCAGAGACCAATTGTTTTTCCGTGCTGTAGTTTGCATAATGGCTTTCAAGAAGAAATGAATAGTACAAATTATTTTATGGATTGCATACTTATTAGAATGGATAATGTCCCCTCCCTTTGTGTCCAATTCTTGCAGCTTACTGTACCTAAGACAAATACCTTCTTTTGACAGGGTGGATTTTTTTTGGGGGGGTTGTTTGCTTCCTCCCTAGGATTGAGGGATAGTTACTGACTCAAGGTAGCTTTATGCCTAAGGTGGGACTGGAACTCATCTCCCAATTTCTGGCCTGTTGCCTTAAAACTGCGCCAATAGCTATGTATAAAGTCATATAAATATGGGAAACACAGAATATTATTCCTGAAAAAAAAAAATAGTTAATCCAACTTTGTAGAAATAAATCCAGATTTATTAACAAAAATTTCCTCTAATTTAGAGATTTTTTTTTTTAAAAAAAAGTCATTTGCCTTGGCACTGAAGGTAAATTTCTAGAAACTATTGCAAACTAATATATTTTTAATACTGAAACAGTTTCTGATACTTTGCTATTTCCCTTTTCTTCTAAAAAATTCAATTCTATAGATGCAAATAGTATGACACCTAAGACATAATAGGACTTAGCATCAAATGTTTATCTATGCCTTAAATGTACCTATGTGACTTTTTATACATTTATTAGAAATCACACTACTTTTCCATTCGTAAGAAAAGTGAAGTGGGTACAAGCCTGTTCACCATGTCTTATATTGTCAGTCAGTTGGATTTCTTGATACGTTTTTAAATAAGTTGTATTGATTGATACATTTAGTCACTTGCTTAGTCAATTGATCCAGATGGCTGCCTACTACGTGACATAATTTGTGATGTTTGAATTTTGTGACATTTTAAGGAAACTAGCTGTTAAAAAGCTTCTTTGAAATTATTTTAAAACGTTAGCCCTATTATGCAGCATGTTTTGCTTGAATTTAAATATTATGAATCAATATTAACATACCAGTCAAAAAAGATTGAGGATTAAAGAAACCCGAAAGCCACACTACTGAAGGAAGTACAAGATCTTGTGTCCAGGTATCAAGTTCTCGGCAACGCAAAAGAATTCCATTAAACCTGAATAAAAATATAGCAATGGTAAACATAAGTGCATAAGTAATTAATTTGGGGAATAATTTGCATTATGTAATTTATATCACTAACATATATTATTGGTAATAGATCATACAAGTTGTATGGAGTATTCTGTTGCATATGAAATATATTGCCTTCTAATAAACAAGAAAATATATGTTAAATTCAGGACAGATTAATACATGATCTAGGAGAATTTTTAGAAACTCTTCTTTTAAATTTTGAGACCTAAAAATGTCATAGGACATGCAAAATCATACTAATATTGTTCTGTTCATTTTAAGGTTCCAAAAGTTTTTTGAAATTTAAATAATGCTTTTTTTCCTTTCGTTTATGATTTATAATGTAACTAAAGAGGTCCATTTCTTAAAGATATGCATTTACCATTGTGCAAGACTGTATGTAGATGGGTAAGCCAGACTGGACCATGCATCTGGTACCTGGTCGTAGAACAGTGATGATTGTAAAGTTTCCATACTAGACGAAAACGTTAGTTCACCCTAGATATTTGAAGCAAAAGAAACATTTAAATTTACAATCCCAGTTTAAGATCTATTTTCCCCTCATGGCACATGTATATAGAGAGTATGCCATGGCAAAATAGGCGGCAAATAAATTTAATAATAATGCAATGTATTCCTTACTTTTAATCCAAGGTCTAATTGTTTTATTGATCGCCGTATCTCTCTAATGAGAATATTCATTCTCTCACATTCTTGAAAACACACAAGAATATATGGGCTTCGTACAGCAGACTTTTGCATTATCTCAGCTAAATTAAATTCTTCTGGCAGCTTTTCCAAAATTTCATCCAGTACATTTTTCACCTTATAAATGCAAAGTAAAATTAGCAGGTATGCATTTTGTTTACATTAGTCATGCTCTATAAAGCAAACACCAGTTGGAATATGTGTTGAACATGCAGAACACTGCATTAAAAAAAAATACAGGGTTATAGATATTGTTTGTCATTTGGGATAAGCCTGAAACAGAAAATGCATCTTGTTTCAAACTCAGATCAGAATATCACAATCCAGAGGTTCTGCTAAACTAATGGAATTAACTGTAGTCCATCATAAAGAAAAAAACCAAAATATTTTGATTGTTCAAATAAAACAAAATTAGAGTGGGTTTTATGGGACTATAAAGGTTAATTGTGTGAACTGCCCTTTTCGCTCTTCCTCCCCTCAGCATTTCCTGATCTGGTCTACTGATCTCTCAAAGTCTTTCCTTTTTTATGTCCTTTGAACCATCATTAATGTCCATGATGTTTTCTTCCTGTCTCCATTCCACCCCTCCACCCCTGCTTCTGCTTCATCCCATATGGATGAAAATAACTAAAATAAATGTTTCAGTTTAGGCATGGACTAAAACTAATTCTTCCCTATTTGGAACAGTTTATGCAATTCTCACATCCCTACTTATCAAACACTTGTGTTCAGGAGGAACAAAGTTTTAATTCTGATTGCATTAAAATTATGAATTATTCTGGTTCTGTGAAGGTATTATGGAATAAACATTAGCAGTCTCACCTTTTCTTCTAATGACTGTCCTATAATTTCTCCAGCAAGCAGATTTCTAGGTTGCATTTCCAGCAGAGTTTTGAATAGGTTATCAGACAGAACTGTTAAGAAATCTATCTCAGCATTAGGATGGAGACCATACAATGTAGGACTTTCAGTGGGCAACATTTCATCAATATACTTGTGGTAGCCAATATAATCCAGATTGGGAGGAGATGGAAAACCAGGAGCCAAAGTAAAATCTCCCTCAAGCTGTGATTAGAAAAAGAGCATTTTTCATCTTCAGGCAAAATCTATTCAGTGTTTTGAGATACTGCCAGTGAAAGTGTAAAATTCTTATTTCTTATTGTAGTAGTTTTAATAGATTATTTTTCAAGTAGGAAGCCATCTCTCTTATCCATAATGGTACAATACAAACATCTCAGGATGAAATCTGGTTAAAGAAGTTGCCTTTAAATAGTAAAAGCCATAATAACTTTATATTCTTCTAGATAACAAGAAGCAAGAATGAATCAGGAGCAAGTACTATTCTGTCACAGGGAAATTATTATGCGTTAACAAATTGTAATGAGATATTTTCCCACATTTGTCAGTCTTTAACATAACATGATTATATCACCATATATTTTTCTATACAGCTACTCTAGAAAACATTTTATCTATATAGCTTATATGCCTTGTTTAAATTCAAATTAATCCTAATATTTTAAAATAACATTTAGATTTATGAGTTTATTTAGCTTTGGACTTACTATATCATAACAATATCCACTTTGTAAAAGTACAAGAAAAGTTATCTGATGGTTTTCTTCTATATCCTTAATCTATTACAGAATTAAATATATATATAAATTTTAATCCCAATCCTTTCACAAGCATAAGAACAATTCATCCCTTGTTTTACTATTGCAAATTGTATTTTAAGGCAAGTATGCTCCATCTGCATATCAGCTTTCTTGAGTAAGCAGCAGTTTTTAAAATTCATCAAAATACATGTGGTTATCTACTTCTCCCTATTTATTATCTAGGTTATCCCTATACATGTGGTTATCTATCTAATTTATGACCACAGGACTTGGTTTATTCTTGCGGATTGATTAAATGCGTAACAGTCTACACCAGTGGTTTTTAATCTGTCCACAGACTCCTAGGGGGCCATGTTATCATCACAGGGGGTTCATGAAGGCTTGAAGAAATATTATGATTTAAAACTTAAGTCTTGGTGCTCCATGGCCATGGTCAGTAGCCACACAAGGTATTTCAAGGAGGGTCCGTGATGAAGAAAAGGTTGGTCTACACTGTCACATTTTTTCTTTAAATTTTCAAAATGCACTAAACATTAGAATTTTGAAGTATCAAAGATGAACAAAATGAAACTCTTTTATGCTTCTCTTCCAATGGATTGCCCATGACTCTAGCTGTTTATCTATGCACTACTGTAAATTGCAAGGATACAGATTAACAGATTCTGAAACCTATTTTCCTACTGTTTAACAGATAATCAGAGTTGGAAGAGACTTTGTAGGTCATCTAGTCCAACCCCCTGCCCAAGCAGGAGACCCTACACCATTTCTGACAAATGGCAGTCCAATCTCTTCTTGAAAGTCTCAAGTGATGGCGCTCCCACAACTTCCCAGGGCAAGCTGTTCCATTGGTTGATTGTTCTCACTGTCAGAAAGTTTCTCATTTCCAGATTAAATCTCCTTGTTCAGTTTCCATCCATTATTCCTTGTCTGGCCTACAGGCGCTTTAGAAAATAGCTTGACCTCTGCCTCCCCGTGGCAGCTCCTCAAATATCAGAAGACCACTATCATGTCTCCCCTGGTCCTTCTCTTCACTAGACTAGCCATGCCCAGTTCCTGTAACTGTTCTTCATATGTTTTAGTCTCCAGTCCCCTAATCATCCTGGTTGCTCTTCTCTGTACTTTTTCTAGAGTCTCAACATCTTTTTTATAATGTGGTGACCAAAACTGGATGCAGTACTCTTGGTGTGGTCTTACTTTACAGAGTTTTATTAGTACTTCCCTTGATCTTGATTGTATGCATCTGTTAATACAATTGAGGATTGCATTAGCTTTTTGGGCAGCTACTGCACACTGCTAGCTCATATTTAGCTGGTTGTCCACTAAGACTCCAAGATCCCTCTCACAGTTACTGCTATTGAGCCTGGTTTATATGTGTACTTTAGGTTTTTCTTCCCTAAGTGTAAGACTTTACTTTTCTCCACATTGAATTTCATTTTGTTAGATATGGCCCAGTCTAGTCTGTCAGGATCCATCTGGATCTTGAGCCTATCTTCTTGGGTGTTAGACATTCCTGCCAGCTTAGTATGATCCTGCAAATTTGGTAAGTTCCCCTTCTATTCCCTTATCTAAGTCGTTAATGAAGATATTGAATGTTAAGTTTGAGGCATGGGTTAAAGAACGGAGACCAGACTGTAAACCTTGAACTTCAGCTCTTTATTCTCAAGCATAACAGAGACAAAAAAAACCCGGCTAGCAGTCACTCTTTTATAGAGTAAGCTGCTATCCGGATAACCAATGGATAGTGTTGTAGCATTTGAATCTTGGCGCGGCCCGCCAACAGCCAGTCAGATTGTTCGGAATGAACCAATCATAACTTGCCATTATATGGTCCAATAGGAAGTGCAGGATTACGATCCTGCTAGGCAAATGAATCTTTATTAATTACATTTCTTTAGTTCACAACACCCCTCCCCACTGGGTTCCGTTTGACGGCCGTGGTGACGTAATCACGCAGGTATGCAGGTCGTTTTACCTGCCTATTTGATTTTCGCTGTTCCACCGGCTTTTGTTTAAAGTTCGGTTCCGGTGGAACGCAAGGCTCGTCTTCGCACGGGGTTGATTCCGCGGTGCTGTTTTCGGCACTATCAGGGTCCCTTAAGTCCATTCCTGGATCGGGCAGGCATGTTTCCACTACGGTGTTCCTCTGCGGGGAGGATGCCTCCAATCCCAGACCTTCTTCAGGTGGTGCGAGTACTCGGTTTAGCGGCCGTCTGTCCTCAATTACGTCGTCGTCTATACGGCCTTCGTCCCCCTCGGTATTCCCTCCCCCTTGAGTTTGGAAGTCCGGGGGTCGCGGATATTGGGTTGTAAACGAGAGCGAAGTTGATCTATATGGCGTTTCCAGATCTTGCCGTCTGTCGTCTTAAGGCGGTAAGATCTAGGGCCAGTGAGGTAGACTACGGTGGCTGGGACCCACAGCGGTTCGCCGGAAAGGTTTTTGGCATAGACCAAGTCGCCTACCTTGAATTGGCGATACGTTCCGCTGGATCCACAAGGTTCCTCTGGCGAATAAGACGGGTGTAATCGGTCGAGGTGGGAGCTTCCACCCCATTAAAAGTTCGGCTGGGGTCTTGTTGGTGACACTGTGGGGGGTAATGTGTTGTAGTAAGAGTATTTTGTTCAATCTAGCATCGATGTCCCCCGGATCCATTTTTTGTAGTGTCTTTTTAACAAATTGGACCATCCGTTCTGCTCTACCATTTGTCGCAGGGTGAGTCGGCGAAGTCAAGGCATGGCGGATACCCCGGTCCGCCAAGTATTGTTCGAAGGTGAGAGCAGTAAACTGGAGTCCGTTGTCGGAAACTAGAACGTCCGGGAAACCGTGTGTTGCAAATAATCTATCTAGTTTTTTAATAACGGAGTCAGTAGTCATGCTTTTCATCTTGTGGATTTCAAGCCAGTTGGAGTAAGCATCCACGATTAGGAGAAAAGTGGGTCCTTTAGTGGGTCCCGCGAAATCAATGTGGATGCGGGACCACGGGCCTCGAGGAGTTTCCCATTCGGTGGGAATTGCTCTCGGTGGGGCGTTGCTGACTTCTTGGCAGTTTCTACACGTGGTTACCCAGGCTTCAATTTGTTTATCAATGCCTGGCCACCACGCGTAGCTTCGAGCGAGAGCCTTCATGGGGACGATGCCCGGATGTCCTTCGTGCAGGGTTTGCAACACGAGTCGCTGTAGTCTCTCTGGTACGACGACTCTATCTCCCCATAGGATGCAGCCCTTCTGGGAAAATAGTTCCGTTTGCCGGTGTTCGAACGGTGCAAAAATGGCGGGGGTTTCTTCGACTGGCCACCCGCGTTCGACCCAACTGAGAACTCTTGCGAGGATAGCGTCCCGTTTTGTGTCGGCAGCGATATCCCTTGCCGTTAGTGGCGGCGAGTTGAGGGTTTCAATTTGCAGCGTAGTGAGGGTCGGAGCTGGGTTGCTGACAGTTTCCGGAAGTGGGGAATGGCTCAAAGCGTCAGCGTGGGGTATGGCTTTCCACGGGCGATGCTGCAGTACGTAGTTGTAGGCTGCTAGGAATTCTGACCAGCGAGTCATTCTAGGTGACAATATATGCGGCGTTGGTTTATCACCTGCTAAAATGCCAAGTAAAGGCTTGTGGTCTGTAACTAGAGTAAAGGGCCGCCCGTAAACATATTCATGGAACCGCTTTACGGCCGATACAATAGCAAGAGCCTCTTTGTCAAGTTGGCTATAGTTTCGTTCAGCCTTTGATAATGTGCGGGAAAAGTACGCAATAGGAGCCTCATTCCCGTTTGGTAACACGTGGCTCAAAATGGCTCCAACCCCAAACGGTGACGCGTCGGACGTAATATTTATTGGCAAAGTCTTGTTGTACTGCATTAGAACAGCATCGGATGTTAATAAGTCTTTCACTTTTTGAAAAGAGCGTTCTTCTCGATGTCCCCAAACCCAGGTGGCTTTCTTGTCGAGAAGTCTATGTAGGGGCTCAGCTACGGTCGCCTTCTGGGACAAGAATATGTTGTAAAAGTTAATAAGTCCCAGGAAAGCCTGGAGATCAGTCTTATTTTTAGGTCTTGGGGTGTTCTTGATTGCCCTGAGTTTGTTTTCAGTAGGGTGAATACTGTGTTTATCGAGGAGGTATCCGAGAAACTCTACCCTTTCAGTGCATAGTTGACATTTATTTCTTTTAACCTTGAGACCGGCGTCCATAAATCTATGTAAAACCAATCTGAGACACCTTTCAAGCTCTTCTCTATTTGGGGCAGCAATTAATACGTCATCGAAGTACGGTACAACCCCTTTTATTCCCTGTAAAAGTCTCTCCATTAGACTCTGAAATATACCGGGGGCTACACTCACTCCAAACTGGAGTCTGTTGCATTTAAAGGCACCTCGGTGTGTAACGATAGTCTGTGCCTTTGCGGTTTCCGCATCAACGGGTAGTTGTTGATACGCTTGCGCTAAGTCTAACTTTGCGA